ATTTTGGTGAGGAGTAGCATGCAGGGAGGAAGTATGGAGGAAGGAAGCACGAAGGAGTAGCTATGAGTGAAGGAAAATTCCCGTGTTGAGTCTTGGTCCCAGTGTGAGGGTCCACGGAGTTATCTCTTAGAGTGATGAGTTCCTACGGGATGGGGCCCTCACAGACGGGACTGGTACCCTTATGAGAGGAGACTCTCCCTCTGTGTCCTCCTCCTCTTGCCCGATTCCTCTCCCTCTCCGCCCTGCATTGTGAGATACGATGAGAAGATGCCTTTGCCAAGTAGAGTGGTTCCTCACTATACGAGGCAGCTATGGGCACCTGGATTGTAAGATCTCCCAGACTGTGGACGATAAATGTTCACGGTATAGGCTACATGGTCCGAGACATTCTATTATAACAAGTGCTAAGGCAATGAGGGAAGGCTTGGAGAAACTAAATTGTTCAATTAGCCAAAAGGCACGACGCCTCTCTCTCTCTCCTTCTCTTCTGCTCATCACCTGTGCTTTGGCAGCTTTGATGGAGACGCCCAGTACCCTACTAACATTTTAATCCATCTGCCTTTGGACATCCTCGGACTCTAAGGATCCCTTTTGCTTCCTTCACAGCCTTCCCTCCATCCTCTTCTTGGGCAACAACACTGGTTGGTTAAGCAGCAGCAGCTCCCAGCATGCCCCGGCTCCCTTAGCCTTAGCCTCAAGACCGGACCCTCACATCAGTGAGTCAGAAAGTCTCCTGTAAGACTGAGCTGGAGATTCTCAGTCACCCAGGCACTAGGCACCAGAAGCCCTCGGAGCCTCTGAGTGTGTGTGGGTGCTCACTGCAGAAACCTGTCAATGTGGGGAAGTTTCAGGAGAGCTAATTAAGTCCCTGTCAGCACGAGTCAGTGAAAGGGAGCCCTGGCAGGCCCGGGCAACTCCATGGTGAGTCATTGCCTTAAGCGAGAGTATGAATATGAATGCAGAATTACCTGGAGCTGCTCATTAGCCAGACATCTCTCCCTGAGGTAAAAGCTAAAGTGCAGGGCTGGGGGCCGAGCTCAGTGGTAGAAGCCTTGCTTGGCTTGCATGTGCAAAGCCCTGGGTTCCACCCTCAAATCTGCAAAACCCTGGGACAGCTCAGGAGGGAGGCTCACCAGGTTCTTCCTGAGGCCTGTGGGAAGACCACTGCCCTAACTTGCTTGTTCATTCATCCAGAACTTTCTGACAGAAGTTCGGGGTATAAACAGTATAGCTAAGCACAGTCCAGTTGAGAGGGGCCAAAGTAAAAAGTGGCACTGTAGGAGAAAATGCCAATTGAGTGTGTAGGTGTCCCCTGGCTCTGCCTAGCCACGGGACACTCGTTTAAAGAACAGTCTTTTCCTGGAAGGATTTCATTCAGCACGGAGGCATGAAAACACACTTACGGGGTTAAGAATCAGATTCCGGCGGACAGTCCTTCATTCGGCATTCCCATGGACGACTGGGTTTCTAACAGAACTCTGTATGCCTTGTTCCACAAAGCCACCTTCCCACCCCCGTGGACTATAAACAGCCGTTTCCTAACGCCCTCCACTCAGGTTCTGTATCCCACGTGGTTTTCTTTTCTACAAATAATCTTTCCATGTTTGAGCCTTTAGAATTTCAGGCTCCCAGGAGGTTGGGTTGAAATGGAGACTCAACTTTTCTCAACTCAGAAAGTCTTGTTTCACAGTGTTAACTCTTATACCTCCAGAGGATGAGAGAAACAAGGCAAAACAGTGCAATACGGCAGGAAGGGAAACAGGTTTATCAAGAAAACATCGTCTGATGGAGACAGGAACTTCCCCAGTAAATGCTGAGCTCTATAGCACAAGTCTAACAGGTCTTCATAATGAAAGCCCAGAGTCAGATACAGCGGAAATGCTGAGAGATCAGCGAGACGAAGGAGCCAAGCCACTGTCACCTACCTCTCAACTTCCTTCCCCCCTTCTCATTTTCTCTCTCTGCCCAGCCATATCACTTCCTGTCTGTACAGACCTCCAGCCCTCTATGGTTAGCTAGTGGCTAGCTCTGCCCTCTGATCTTCAGGCAAGCTTTATTTGCACAAACAAGATTCTACCACAGACCTCATTTCTACCTCCATAGGTAAAGAGTGGGTCTTTCTTTTAAGAAGAGTAGAATGAGACGCCCATTGTAGTGCTTGACTTTATAGCCAGGATTTGAAGAGGCAGAGGAAGATGTCTGTCTGTAAGTTCAAGGCCAGCATGGTCTACATTTGAGTGCTAGGCCACACAGGAATACAGTGAGACCCTGTCTCAGAAATGAACTAGAATAAGTCGGATGTGACAGCTTACGCTTGCAATGTTAACCACTTAGGGGAAGTGATCAAGGAGACAGCTGTGACTCAAAGCTGGCAGGAGCAGCTACAAAGGCAATAGCCCCCTTTCGATTCACCTCTGCCTCTGATGTGGGTCCCTTGGTCAACCGACACGCCTGATGAGAAACCTAACTAGAGAGATACAACACATGCCTCGGACCTAGATGCCTTCAAAATGGAGCTGAGACTTCTACCATAGGTGGTCCTGCTTTCCCCCAACGACACAGCACGGGCCAAGGCAGCAGCCATCAGTGACTTATCTGCAGTATCTGAGTGTTTGCTGCCGTCCAAGGAGTCCATGCCAGGTCCACCTGCTCAAGAACCCAGCTGAGAGCCCAGGGTCTTTGACAACTGCACACATCCTCGTGAAGCAAATGAGACGGGACAAAGGGAGGGCCATGCAGGGCCCGGCACTGTCTAACGGTGCTCTGACCCTAAGGACAGCAAAGACAGGTTCTTTCCAGCCACCAGCCGTAGTCCACTCTACACCTTCTGGGTTGCTGTGCTTTCTGATTACCTTGAGGGGCTGCAGAAAGGACGTGGCAGTGAAGAGTGATTGTACTCACTGAGCATGGTTCCTGGTACACACCGAGTGCCTTTAACTACAGCTCAAGCGAACCAAATGCCCTCCTCTATTGGCCTCCTCGGGTACTTGCACACACACACACACACACAAACACAGACATTCACATAATTAAGAACAAGAAGGTAGCAAAGTTTGTTTTTCTGTTTTGTTTTTTGTTTTGGGACAGGGCTTCTCTTTGTAGCCATGGCTCTCTTGGAACTTGCTGTAGACCAGGCTGACCGAGAACTCAGAGATTCACCTGCCTCCACCTGCTGTGATTGAAGGCATGCACTGCCACCACCCGGCAGAAGGTAACCAAGTTTGCTGTACAATTGCTCCAGCATTATCTGGGCAGTCATCCTATCATAAAACAGTATTTCTGTGGACACATACTCACATGTAAGTGGGAAAAGTCAATAAATACTGTAAGTAGCTTCACATCTATTTAGATTAGGTCTTGCAACCAAACAGTTGGCACCTAACCAAGAGAAGACTCTGGCTTTTAAGAGAGTTTTTAGATTTGTAATTACAAACAATAAATTTAGATTTATGTGTGTATAGTTCTCCAATTCAAGAGTTGATTTACATTTGCAATACTAGCTTCCTCAGGCAACTTATGAAAGAACAGCGTTGTCCTGAGAGAGTCTTTTCACGTATAAAACGTTACCTCTAACCAAATCACACTTCTTTGTATCTATCACATTCCTGGTCATTTTATTGATATTTCTGGTCTTTATTCTCCTGCCTCAACCTCTGGAGTGCTGGGATTACAAGCAAGCACCATCACACTGTATGACCGCAGCTGTGGCAAAGGGACCTGGGGAGTCTCGCCTGCTAGGCAGGCACTGTGCCAACTGAGCTACAGCCCCCTTGACCAGATTTTTGGGATATATATAAATTTATAATATATATTATATAATATATTATAATAAAATTTAACAAATATTTCTATATTTATATATAATAAAATATATATTTTTTAATCTGAATATTTTTCTTGGTATTTGCCTGACCTTCAGGGTTTATGCATTTGACAAGCATCAGTGAACTACAAGCTAGAGAAACCAAGGTAGGCTTAAGTAGAAGAGACACTACGGGAGCCTACAACACTAAAGGGACGGGGGAGGATGGTCTCGGAAACAGTGTGGGAAAGAGACTTTGAACTGGAGCTGAAGGGTAATTCTATCAAGACTTCTAATCTTTTTTTTTTTTTTTTGATTTTTGAGACAGGGTTTCTTCGTAGCTTTTGGTTCCTGTCCTGGAACTAGCTCTTGTAGACCAGGCTGCTCGAACTCACAGAGATCCTCCTGCCTCTGCCTCCTGAGTGCTGGGATTAAAGGCATGCACCACCATCGCCCAGCTATTCTAATCTTTGTCATTCAAACATCTGAGTTAACGGGTAAAATCAAGCCCCAGGTGAGTGCGTGGCTGAGTCCTCACTTACAAGGAGACACCGAGACATCAGATCCATCCTCTTAGGACATGCATTGCTGCTGCAGGAATATTGCACGCAGATCCCACAGCAATCAAAGTCTCGCGTACAGTCTCATAGATTTCAAAATATCATCCTCAATTCCTAGTCTTTGAAGAGACACGTAAGGTATTAATAGCACTGACTGATAGATGGCTTGGTCTTTAAATGTCTTTCTTCCCACAGGCAGATTAGCCACAGCCTTTTGGTTCCTCTCAACATCTCTGCTTTCTCCTGAACACGGTGACTGGCCATGTTTGCCACTGTGCTTCGCTTTGTTACAAACCACGAGCTCTTTCCCTAGGGATGGTTTAAGGAATACTTATAACCGAGGCGACCCAGATGGAAGGAAGCCTAACAGCAGAGACCACATCACAGCTACAGGATCCACCTGAAACCCACAGCAAAACCAAGCACGTGGACCCAGGACCAAGAAATGAAGAGTGTAAATAAATGGTCCCCCTCCCTCACTGGCTGCCGAGAACAACTGAAGGGATCTTACAACATTCCGTAAAACTGCATTTCACGAAGTGGCTTTTGGGATTGCAAGGGACAGGGCAGAAGGAATCTCTGCCGGGTGCACACCATCCTGCCTTGAGTTTTATGAGACACAGATTCTTCCCTGATACCCTACTCTGTGAAAGTTAGTAGCTCCAAATCCATAAGTGAGCTGAAGCTTCCACTGTGGGCTAACAATGGACTGGCCTTTCCAGGATGGGTTTTTGTTTGTCTTTGGTATAATTCAAAGCATATGGTTTTTCCATTGGGCTCGCGGGGTCTTGCCCGCCACACAGCTACCATAGGCTGGAACCCTCCTGCAGCTGTCTGCACCTCCAGGGTGGGCCTGGTTGCATCAGGGGTGGTACCTCTGTGGTCTGGGTAGATGTCCAGTCGCTGGAGGCACATCCCATGGCGGTGCAGACTTGGATACGAATTTCATACATACAGGAAACAAGGGAGAACCAAGGATGATTCTTAGATCTCTCTGGGACAATTTTTGAAAAGTTTCAGAAGAAAACAAAAAAGTTTATATTTATGAACAGCTAGCTTTAGAATAACGACACACTTCTATTTTTATGGAAAGTTTGAACAGTTTTTCTCTGATTTGCAAACTCAAAGACAGACCTTCATCTGTTTGGTAAGTGGTCAGTTCTGGCCTAGAGAGGGATGTATGGAGTAAAGAAACTCTAGGTTTTCTGTCCAGAGAGAAAATTCTGGTGCTGTGAAAAGGTACTGAACACAGCAGTGGGCAATACAGCTTTGTGTGATCCTGCCTCCTCCTACCTGCTAGGCAGAGCCAAGCAACTCCCTGGGAAGGCTTCCAGATTATGAAGGCTCTGTGGTAATGGATCTCCTCACATGACACCTGACATCTTAAAACAGGCTCCCTTAGCTCATGCGAAGACCTCTGGGGGGCAAAGTTAACCCCCCTACACACTACATTATCCATCACGAGACACCTTATCACTACCTAGTCAAGCTCGATTAATCAATTATGTTTTGCCTCATAGCCGGTATCTACCTGTTTCCACGGCAGAACCTTTCCCAACACAAAGGCCCCTGCTTAGTGCTGAGTGCCTCTGGCTGCTCTCTTCCCACGCCCATTACTTGACGACCCAACCTTTCCCTCAGGTGTGCGGTCAGTCACCTTTCTTCCCTGCTCCCTCCTCTTGGGTCCGGTTACGTCTTGTTCTTTCCCCGCCTCCTCTACTTTTGCCCAAGCTCTCTGTTCTGCGTGGCTTCTGTTTTGCATTTTTGCCTTCTTAGTTATTTATGCTTTGCATTTCCTTTGTGGCTCGGTGAATGTTAGCATGAACTGTCAGCCTGACAGGATCAGGAAACACCTAAGTGAAGCGCCTCTGGGCACACCTGCGCGGGATAATTAGCCTCCGGGCATTCCTCTGCAGGCTCCTGTTGACTGCCTAAACTGAGGTGGGAAGCCGCCAGAAACAAGCAAACTAAGTGAGTGGAGCTCCTGCACTCACCTCACCCTGCTCCCTGACTCACCTCACCCTGCTCCCTGACTCTGCATACCATGTGACCAACTGCCCTGGCTGTTGATGGACTCATCAGTGAGCCCACATAAGTCTGGAACATTGAGGGCAGCCTTGTTGGGGTTTCTGTCCCGCCTGGTCCCCTGGCCGTTTAGTCCCAGAGAAAATCACAGAGTCTGCATTAGGTTATAAACTGATTGGCCCATTAGCTCAGGTTTCTTATTAACCCTTATAACTTATATTAACACATTATTCTTATCTATGGCTCAGTACCTTTTTCAGCAGGGGTCAGGTCACATACTGCTCCGTCCATGGTCTGGGCAGGACTGGTGAGGAATGGGCTTTCTCCTTCCCAGCATTCTCCTATTCTCATCACCCCGCCTCTACTTCCTGCCTGGCCAATCAGCGTTTACTTAAAACATGATTGACAGAATACAGACAATTCTCCTGCACCATAAGCCCATCCCCCACTAAATTAATCTTGTCAGGGTATTATCTCTGCCACAGGAAAGGTGCCTAAAGCAAACTCTTTTTCCTTCTCCCTCCCTCTCTCCCCTCGCTTACACATCTCTACCCTGCCACGTGCCAGTTCATCGGTGAGCAGATTCACCAGTGTGCCTGGCGGGCCAGACTGATAAGCAATGTTGTTGGGTCAGTTTTGACTTTCCGCATAGGACTGTTTTTTTTGGATTCTCTGTGGCTTGTTTTAAAGTCGCGAGTCAAGCAAGGAATGCAATTGGTAGAACACTTATTGAGAACAGATGCAGGCCTAGACTCGGTCCCTAGCACTGCTCCGTCTGAGCAGTGTGTCACCTGCAGTTCCTGCAGGCGAAGTGAGAGCAAGGATGAGGACCGGAAATTCAAGGCCAGCACAAACTACAGGCGACCTGTCTTAAACAGAAACCAACAAAAAAGGCTGGAGGTGGTGGCCCAAGCCTGTAATTCCAGCCTGTGGAATGTGGAGGTGGGAGGGTCAGGTGTTCACGATCCTCGATGATGTAGTGAGTTCTGGTCCATAGTGGGCTACGTGAGACCCTTCCTTAAAACAACAACAAAAACAAGCAAACAATCAGAAAATCCTTGGCCACTTTCTTTCTGGTTCTTGAAGATTCCCAAACTGCTTTCTACTAGTCAGCTGGGGGTGCCCCACGATGAACACACTGGTTTTCATTGTGTCTGGTAAATATCAATATGATGTAAAACCCACAAAGACAAAAAGGACTGAAATCAACCGATACAGGATTGATACACTGTTATATTTCACCAGCTGTGATACACTGTTATATTTCACCAGCTAGGATACACTGTTATATTTCACCAGCTATGATACACTGTTATATTTCGCCAGCTGTGATGCACTGTTATATTTCACCAGCTGTGATACACTGTTATATTTCACCAGCTGTGTCAAGGATCCAGCTGTTGGGGCACTCGGCCTCTGCATGCCTCCTTATGTGTCCTCGCTAGGATGGCCGCACTTTAGTCTTTTCATTTCTCTCTAGGAAGTGTTACTTTGACATCTGGGAAGCCATTTTCTCCATGAATCCTTTGAGATATCAGTGCCCAGAGGGGCGCAAGATAGATATGATTTTAATACCTGTGTTGTGGTCACATAAAGAGGAAACCCTGACAAAACGCAGGGCTGCACCCCAACATAGGCCTTTAAAATGTCCTCAGTAGTGGGAGCTCGAAGGCAACTCACATAGCATGTAGATTAGCAGTGGAGAAGAATACCTGAAGAGCTTTTAATTACCGTTTAATATTTGATATGATGCTAAATAATTGCCCTGAGTAGATGCATAAGACCACGAATGCTTTATCCTCACAGCTCTGTACCCACAGATAATTGTAGCTGTGTCTCATCCTGACACCGGATGTCAGAATCATAGCCGAGTTTTACCTGAGGTGGCTGGACAGCAACACTTTTGCAGACTTCATTTTTTAAAAAAAAAATGATTATATTCATTTTACTAAAATTTTCACATAAAATGTTTTTTGTTACTCTCTCTGGGGATGTCAGGTGCCTGAGATGGGATGAGAGAAAATGCTCAGGTGTTGGGAAGCTACAGGAATCATGTTGGTTTAGAACACCTCTATGCATGTCATAGAAGCCAGGCTAACCTAGGATGATACACATGAGCAAAGTGGTACCATCTGCGAAGTCGTGAGTTCAAAACCAAGGGAGTTCTGTGGCAGATACAGAACTCAAAGACCCCATTATTCCTGGAAGAAGTGTTAGATTTGAATGAAAGAAGGCTAGCCTCTAGACAAATACTGGTCCAGTGAACTCATGACTATGTGTATGAATGTGTGTGTGTGTGTGTGTGTGTGTGTGTGTGTGTGTGTGTGTGTGTGGTGTGTTTGGAAGCTAGAGGGTGGCACACGGTGCTGTCACTTTTCACATTCTTTTTAGAAAATGGTCTGTCTGAATCTGGAGCTCACTGACTCACCCGTCTGTCTAGCTGGCTTGGTAACCTGGTGGGTTTGACTCATGTGCCCCACCAGATGTGAGGCTATTGGAAGAAGCCCCTCTGTTCATGTGTGTGCTAGGGTTCTAACCCAGGTCCCCTGTTTGGGGAGCAAGCACTTTACCGACCGAGCCATCTCTCCAGCCCTCCTTTCAGCTTAATAAGTGTCGAGGGCTGCAACTCGATGGAGGGGATCGGCCCCGTCTCTTCATGTTGTACTCCAGATGACAAACTTCCAAATGTTCTGGAAAGCTGGCATCGAAACATCACGTGTCATAGTTCTGTTCTCCAGAGACTGGGAAAGCATGCTGTAGCTAAATGAAGGTGGGGCCTGTCTACTGTTCATGGCTGATGCACGGGAGGTGGCGTGTGCACCTGGCCCTGGGAGCCTCAGTGGCACTGATGGAGCACAACAGAAGGGACAATGACTTGCACCCAGAAAGCCCAGCTTGTCTCCTTACCTGCGAAATGGCTTCAGGTCTTTGACTGCGAGTGACTGCTTATCAAAAGAACTGTGTGTTGTATTAGCTCACAGCACTCAGGGTTCTCTTTCAAACAGCTCATGGGTGAAGAGGTATAGTTGATGATCTCACTGTTTGTCCTCACTGGAGAGTCCCAATCTGCTAAGATCTCAAGAGCATCCCTGGCCTGCAACTTTGGAGGCTGTAAGCCTGAGGTGGCTGAGGGGCTGGTTTGATCCTTGACAAGTGGACTCAAGACACTTCCCTGGCTGTTGGTGGCTGTCACCGAGGAGCAGTATTCTACACCTGGGGCGAGGGTAAAATCATGGTAGCGAGTTTCCAGCCCTGAATACACCGTGGCTCCATCTCGCCGATGCTCATAACTTCTGATCTGGCCATGTGGGTTTCTTGGAGGTTTCTGAGCCTGTGACTTGCAGTACTAGGGGGGTCCATGTTCTCTGGCACACACTAGCAGTGCAGCCTCCACCTGTGCAGGCCACAAGGGAGATACTGTATTGAGTAAAAGGCTGCAGGTTGGAAACCAGAAAGGACAGGTCCTGCCCAGCCGTGTACTTCCGACCATCACATCTAAGCAAATCTTTCCATTTTGCATTGATGGTGGGGACAAAGACACGTTTATCTGGCTGGCACCGATGGCCTGAAGAACTGGAGGGCTGACTCCTCCTGGAGGCGCTTCGGGAATGGTGATGGTGGTGGGTTTGCTGGTACAGCAGCTGCCATTGGTGGAGGCGAGGACTGAGTAACTGTAAGCTGGAAAGGGAAGCAGCTGGCTGTCGGTGTAGTTGAAGGTGCTAGCATTGAAGCCGATTGGATGGAGCACTTAGGCCTCTGAAGTTCATAGCACTGGGTAGCACCATTAGACTTTTGGGGTGGCATCCAGGAAATCAGCAGTTTGGGGGACTTCATAGACACATGGGGTATCTCAGGTGAAACAAGGCCTTTTGGGGGAGCTCACAATGCCCTTGCCACAGTCCAAGAGCTACAGGTGTGCCTTGCAGAATTCCACGTGCCGATTCTATAGGCATCTTGCCTCCACGTCTGTAGACCTGTGTCATTATATACCCAGGAGTCTGTCCCTTTCCATGTGGGATTCTGTGAAAACAGTGTTTTCATCCACCTGAGTTGTCCCATCTCCCCAAGCCTCTCTCTCCAAACATCTGTGAATCACTTCATAATGAGTTATCTTCCCGTTTGGCTTAGCTGACTGAGCCCACAGTAACCTTACAGTGGTGGACCCCACAGACTGGATGGTAGGAGCCAACTGAGAGTCTGGAGGATGGGCTTCGTCTGTTCAGAAAGGCTGGGGCTCTGAGTGAGCACAGCCTGCTGCTGTGCAGACCTCGAGGGTCAGAGTGGAGAGGGTGAAGGGGGCCTAGAGCCTGAAGAGAAACTGTCGACCCAGGCAAGAATACTCCAGGAGCCCATCGCTGAAGACATGGTGTGCCTGCAGGATGAAGAGAAGAGGAGGATGAGAGCAGTGTGGGGTTTTTGGTGCAGCAGTTTAGTCTGTCTGAAACGCTCACACCTGCCCACCTGATCCCACTGGTGCTAATCCATTAGCCTGCAAATGCTGGCTTTAGACGTGGGATCTGCCACGGTTAATATCAAGTCCACAGAAAACTTTTTAAAAGGTTGGATAAAATCTAAGCATTGACCCAAACCTCAGGCTGGTGAACGCTATGGCTTACACAGTACTCATGAGGTTTGAAAGGCAGGAAGAACATTCAAATCTCTTATTATAGACGCTCCATGCCTCTGATGGAAGTACATGTGGCTTATTGAACAAGCTGCCTTCCTCTGAGCTTTCTGTGAAATGGAACCATATTGCTGGTCATCCTTGTTACAGGATGCTGGGCTTGAAAACGTGCTTTTACGGGTATATGCATGCGTTTGTGTGCAGACTCACATCATGGGATGCACATGTGTACAGATATGGTCATGTGTATAGATATAGCACACCAATGCACATATACATAGTCTTGATAACAATATGGGAGAGCATTTCTATGCACTGCTTTCTCTTTGAAGTCATAGAAGCATCGATGGCTTACATGGTGGGCATGACCACGTGTGCTCATTACAGCCCCGCTCTTAACCTCGGTAGCAGTTGTTTGTAATTACACGGAGCTGACAGATACTGGCTGGTCTTGCTTTAAACCTTGTCCAGAAACCTCTAGTAGGTAATTATCAAATAGTAACCCCATCTTCCCCCTTTGCATTTGCTCTCTCTTTGTCCAAAGTGATTAGTTTACATCTTGTCCTTTCTTCCCCACCTCCTAGCACGCCTGCCTCTCTCTCCCTCAGAGTTGGTTGGTGACATTCCCACATCCTCCATCGAGAAGGAGATGAAGTCAGAAAGGCATGCTCTCATAGGATGTATTATTGCCAGGACATGTTCTACATTCTTGTGGATCCCAAGTCTCACACTCCGTTGGCATCTTACTTACTCCTCTCAGCTTCCTGGTTTTAACTACAATCTGGTGAGACATAGTGAAGTGGTCATTTTCTCAACTTTCAGTTTGGTATTTAACAGATTACACAGTTAATACTCTATCATAAAGCAGTCTTCGTGGGAGATGATTTTGGTCTTCTATAGGCTAATTTAAGTGTTCAAAGAATAATTAGAGTAGGCGAGCTGGAAGGTTACTAGGGAGGTTATGAGTTCAGGATACACTTTCAGTTCAATAATAGAATCAACGAGCATAAGGTGAAGATACAGTATCTGTGGTCATCTTGGCTTCTGTCCCTATGACTGAAGTATCTATGCTCAATTAAAGGCCAAGCAGGCCATTAATCCCCCTTCTTTTGTAAGGACTCCATTCTTGTAGTTATTCATATCATCTCTTCCATCACAGATCCCTTCCCTCTCTGGCTATTTCCACTAGTGTTTCAGTGTGCTCTAGTATCGCATTGGTTTTTACATGAAAGTCTCAACATCCCGCTTGCCTGGCTACTGTCCCATTTCTCTGCTGTCCTTCTCACCGAGGCGTCTTCAGTGAGTTGCCATCTTTTCCAGAGGCCACTCCACTCCGGTGCCTTTTTCTAGCACGTGATCTTCCTGCCAAGATTCCAGGGACCTTGCTCTTCTCCAGTCTAGGTCATCTCAACACGTCTTGCTTTCTTCTCCTCACATTGGGCATGCAATACCCACCTACCCATCCTCAACATCTAGTCTCATTTCACTCTCCCCTGACTACTTTCCTCTTCATGACCTCCACATTTCTTGTACCCCAGGACTGGACCCCAGGATCTCCTCATCCCTAGCTACATCCTCTCCATGGTGATTCCGCCCATCACCATGGCTTTACACACAGTCGCCTGCTAACAGACTGCAGATACAGAGCTCGTTGATGACTTCTTGTGGAGTTCTGAACTTGGACTCTGACTAGCCACTTGCCCTCAAACCTGCTGCTCTCCCAACTTTCCCTCCTAACTTAGCTAACACCCCAGGGTCAAAGCCCCGAAGGCAATCTGAAGAGTCACCCCTCTCTTTCCTTTACGCCCCATATCCTGCCTATTAACAAAAATCTCATCTCTACTTTCTCTATTCACTTCCAGTACCCCATATTTCCTGGTTTCACCATTCCTTCTTTGATTCGAACTATCTAATTTGAATCCTACCCTGAATTCTCCAGTAGGCTCTCGACTCCACTAGTTTCTCACAGGACATGAGTGTGCCGCCAGAGTGAGAAATTTGATCCCAGCATCCCTTTGCTTAAAGCCCTCAGTAATGTCTCACTGAACCCTAAACACTCTCCCTGCTCCATGTCACAGCCCACAAGGCTGGGCCCACCCTGCCTCTAGTCTGTCTCGGTGCCATCTTTTCCTTTTTCCCAGCGTTTCATCCACGCAGGCTTTCTTCCATTTCCTTGAGCACACCAAGGTCATTGCTGCCTTAGGGCCTTGCATTTGCTGTTCATTTTGTCTGGAACATTTTGCCCCCATATCTTCACATGACTGCCTCTGCCTTGTCATTCAGGGCTCAGCTCAAATGTCAACTCAATTCAAATGATTATCCATTTTAAAATAGCCTGAGCAGGCATAATTACATGACTCTATTTAATTTTCTTTATAGCATCCATGGCTCTCTGAAATTCCCTTGCTTGTTTATTTACCATCTTATAGTTTGTGCTTCCACCCCTCTTTGACTCAACTCTCCCCTGCATTTATTCACACCCATGTAAGGGCCTAGACAGCAGGGACTTTTGCCAGTCTTGTTCCCTCTTGAATAAGAGCACGGCACTTAGTAGACACTCAATAAATATTTGGTGAAATGCAGATGGGGCGTCAATCTTCCTATTGTCAATCATTCTCAGGAGAGGCAGTCGCTGGCAGGGGGAATACACTCAGAAAGAGCTTTGATGGGTGGACTGAAGGGGAAGCTCTGTTGCCTGGGAGGGGCTGAGAACTGAGATTCAGGATTTAAGGTTGCCCCGGAGGAGGGTTTGGCTGAGGTCTACTGGTGGGAAGTGGCTTGCCTCTGAGTTTCTGTGATTGGCTGCAGGACCTCCAGCTAAGCTGGGAGGCAGCCCAGAGAAAGGGGCAGGAGGTTGGAGCTGACTCCAGAGCCCTGAGCTGTAGATAGTATTTTCTGTCTCAATCTTCTTTTAGGGCGGATGAGGTGAAGTTTAGTCTTTACTCTTTCCTGTGGAATTAGCATGGGGATCTCCACTCTCTGGGGAGAGCGATTGGAGCAGGCAGTGGATACAGCAGCTGTGGCTGGGGATTCTGCCACCCTGACCTGTGGAGCCACCAAAGAGGACAAAGCCAGAGGGAAGAACTGGGGCGTGAATGGCTGCCAGCTCCTGAAAGAAAATAAAAAGATTTTATGGGTCTACCTCATGTGGGCAAGCGTTGAATGCTTCAAAGTGTGGGTTGAACATGGGAATTCCGTCTCCTTTACACCGCCAGGCTGGTGAGGTGAGGCTTTATATGTGACATTTAGAGGCTAATTTTCATGGCTACATGGGGAAGTCAAGAAGTTAGTGGACAGATCTGCAGAGTGAGTTAGGTAAACTAAGGAAATAACCCAAAGTAAGAAGGCTGAGGAGGCAGTGAGGTGAGGGTCAATTGGAGTTCAGAGCTTTGGGGACTTCTTGGCTTCAAATCCCACCTCATCTTCGGCAATATTGCCGGAAGCAGCTACTTAACTTTTATGAGCGTCCTGAAGTTGAGCGGCCCCACCTCGTGGGGTTGATGTGTGGATTAAATGAGGCAACCTCAGCCCACTGCTGGGCCCACATCAGGCCTCCCTCCCCCAGCTGTTCTTCACTGATCTAGGAGGAGGTGCCAAGAGGAGCCATCAAGGGGAATTAAACCAGCTTTCCAGTGACCTAATGGCATGGCAGGACACATGTATTTATCTGGAGGATGACCAGGGGATTCCCTATGCAGGATGAACTCTACCTTGATCTTTTTCCATTGTTTCTCTCTGGCTCTGTCCACTGGAGCAGCAAAGCCCGCCCGTTCTCTCTCAGGTCAGCTGGAAAGTTGATTAGTTCACTTGGCGAAGATTCTAAAGTTCTAATCAGAGTCCAGGGGCTTGACTCCTGTCCTGCACTGTTAACAGTGACCACGCCCACGTGGGATGTTGTGAATGGTTCTAACCCAAAAAGATAGGCTTCGTGGCTTGTTCCCTGAGAGAAAGTTAACAAGTTAGGTGTCTGTTAGAAGCCAATAGAAGGTTATTCTCTGGACTGCACGACCATGTCAGAATGCATGGCATTCACAATGGCATAGATGCACAGCAAAGGTTTGGATTCATGTTGAGGAGACAGTGAGTGTTCTTTCTGCTTGCTCTCGTCCACACTGAATACATCAACTAAAACAGTGGTTCTCAACCAGTATGTCAAAGCCCCCTTGGGATGTTGAAGAACTCTTTCACAGGGGTCATATATCAGATATTTACATTATGATTCATAACAGTAGCAAAATTACAGTTATGAAGTAGCAATGAAATAATTTTCGGATCAGAGGTGGTCGCCACAGCATGGGGAACTGTATTAAAGGGTCGTAGCATTAAGAAGTTGAAATCCACTGAACTAGCGAATGATTTCAGATATGTGGAAAAGTTGTATCAGATGTCACCTGTAGACTTTCAGAGCTTGAGACCTACAAGTCGTGGTGCCCACGACGAGAGCTGCAGTTAGCTTAACAAAGAGCAGTGGCCCCATGTTGCATCCTAGCAGCTGTGGGGAGGTGGCCAGCAGGTTCATGGGAAGTCTTTGTGAGATTTAGCAGGGACATGCCTAAAGCTCTAATCTGCAATGCTGCTTATTCAGACGTGAGACCCTCTACTCCCCAGCCTTCCCCAACTCATTGTGTGGCTGTGCATTTGTATCTTACAAATTTGATAAAACAAACACAAGAAAACAGCAATGAGCCCATTGGACTCTAAATGTCCAAACACCCTTGGAGAAGCCTGCTATTAATGTAAATGTGAAATTATTCCTATCTGTCAGAAGCAGCGTAACTAAAACCATGAAATGCGCCCAAAATGATTGCTATCTAGGCTTTGAGAAATTCGCCCTTGTTGGTCTAAAAGGAAAAAAAAAGGGATCGCGGAATTACTTTTGTTTGTTTGTTTGTTTGTTTCTTGCTCACAGAGAGACATTTAACATATTTTGCATAACTTAACTGGAGCTAAGAATCTTAACATTCTGAGAGGCCCTGGGGTGTTCTTGCCAATCTGGGCAGGATGGATATGTCTGTTTAAGGTAGGAATTATGCCTGCAACAGGGGTTAGCAACATATGCACGAGTAAACACACATACAAGCACGCACACACATACACATACACACACATTTTGAGAGGGGGTATTTCCTACTGTGGACTGTGACCACTGACTATGAACAATCATGACTAAGCTTTGTTTGGATGATGATGGTGACTTGTAATGACATGTGATCACCTTGGGTTTATTAGATGTTTAAATGTGACTTTGATAACCTATCAAGGGTTTCTTTCTTTCTTTCTTTCTTTTTTTTGATGGGTAAAGGTAGGGAAAGGAAGTTATTTCTCAGGGTGGGTAGCTGAGAACATGGACACAGTTATGAGAAAGGATTTCTTCTTAATTTGAAATCTTCCAAATGCCATTTTGGGATGAAACTGTAAAAACAAATACCACCAAAAGATGGTAGATGTATTTTTTGATTCTCTCTTATTCCATGAGAGACCTGGGTAAAGAAAATACAGTTTCCTTTATGGATCTGAGACTCGTGAAGTCAATTTTCCTGTTTCAGTATGTCCCATTATGACATTACACGCTAACCTCCTGGAATCTTTTAATATTTAAACATTTGCTAAGCGGCCAGACTCTGAAACAAATTTTACAGAAATATTAATTTCTCTTTTTTAAAATATTAAAAGTTAGGTTATGAATATTTAAAAACGTATTTCTCCACAACATTGGATTGGTCTTTTAGATAAATATATCAGCAGATCAGGATGACCACAGTGAATATTAAACCTGATAGTGCTTCCAGTCCTGATTACAAACATTCTTTCCTGACAAATGATTTCTTTTCTCTGGAAATAGGGCAAACATGGGTAAGATTAATAATGCAAAAAAGAATAATTCTTTGTTCAGAAGATTTGGTAATAGATGCCAATAGAAGCAGAGGCCCCAGAGTGATCAGGAATCACCTCTACCAGATTATGCACAGAAAAGTGGGCTGTTGGGGCAGACTTGGAGATGTTTTTGTCACAAGAAATTGGAAAAGCATGTGGGCTATAAAGCAAAACCATATGTATATTGTCAATCGTGGCACCTGCTCCATTACGGTTTATTTCATAGCAGAGACTTCCATTCAGCCCCTAGGTGGCAATGCTATCAAACACTTCTCATAACACGAGTGCTAATGATTAACAGCCGACTGTTCTATCTTCCAACATACTCCCGGCAACCGTTAAAAAAAATAACACAACTGATTTCATTATAGATTCTTTTAATAAACATTTATGGCTCAGATCCTTGAAAGCGAAAGTATCCCAAATGCCCCCGCCTCAGAACCTCCGCCATCTAATGTAGAAACCTGGCCTGTGTTTCTCAAGTTCAAGTTCCGGCGTGCGAGGCACAGATGCTTCAAGGTGTGATCCTGTAAAGGGTGATTTTAATAGTGCTTTTCTTAATCTGGTTTACACTTACTGTACACACACACACACACACACACACACACACACACACACTTTGCACTTGACTGCAGAACAGTTCCCTTGTTACTTTGTTATTTCTGAAGTCTCCCCCCACCCCCAGCCCACACACACCACATTTGACTGGAGAACAGTTCCCTTGTTACTTTGTTCCTTCTGAAGAGACCCCCCCACCCACACACTCTTCACTTTTCTTGCCTTCCCTCATCTTCAGGTTTTATATTCATCACCTCCCCTCTTTTCTCATCTTCCTCTTCGGATATTTTCAGCTTGGCTTAGTCTCTCCTTCCTTTTTAAAATTTTCATTTTATCTTCTAGAATTCCCTCTTCATTATCATCTCCTATTCCTTTAGCTATTAAGCCTTGTATTTGTTGTCTGAGGCTTTGGATTTGCTGTGTAATAACAGAGAATGACCTTGAACTTGAAATTCTGTGCCCACCCTTCAAGTCTGAGTGACGGGATTGCCAGTGTGCATCACCATGCCCAGTGTTATGTGGTGCTGGGCTGAAACCTAGACTTCCTGCGTATAATAAGGTAAGCACGCCACCGTTTGAGTGACACCCCTCCCCTGCGGGTACTTTTGAGCTACACGTATTGGATCTCTCACCTCTGGGGTATCAGTTCACGCTTGCTTCCATCCTGATCTTTGTTGGTACCCCTCCCACAGTCTTTACTGCAGAAGTTTATCCGCGATTGTTACACAGCAGATGGAGAGTAACTCAGTAAAAGAGGGTGGGAAGGAATTTTTACTGGAACTAATCCTGATCTGCTCTCACCACTGAATCCAAAGAGATTCAGCCTCTTTTACTTTTTAAAATTTATATGCAGACATGTCAGAGCTGGGATACAAATCAGTGTGTCATTTATGAGGCGTAAAGGCAGGGCTCTCTGGAATGCTCGGCTGGTGGAGGCCCTGCTGCCAATTTGAACTACATTTTAACCTCTCAACTCTGCTCCCGTGGACACGTGAAACCACTTGGAGTCTTCAGCAGTCTGACAATTTTACACCATCTCCTCTGATTATTTTTGACGACTTGAAATGCCCCAAAGGTGGCCAAGGGGTCAATAGGTTTATGTAGGTTGAAAATGATCAAAAATTACCATTGATCTGTAGCTGTCAATAAAAGGCTGCATGGGGATAGTCCCTGCACAAATGTTTAAACTGCAGAGAGCTACCTAACTTAGTCACCTTTGAGTCTATTGATCTGATGATCCAGCAGTTTCCAGAGCTTTCCCTCTGGTCTTTGTGGTGTTTTTTCACTAAGCCCATCCACCTCAGCCGTTAGGAAGCCTCTTTAGGCTACTCACAGTAATGAAGCCAACGTGGCGAGGCTTGGGGGCTGAGAGGCCATCAAGGAGTCTTATGTGTGTTTACTGCAGTTTGGAAAAGGGTTAATCTTCGTGGGCACGATTCACTTCATCCCAAGTCAATGGGATTTCTTCTGCCTTTGCCTTTTTATTTGTTATTCTCACTTTCCTTGGCTCCTGATCCTAAAATGGATCTGCTCTGGCTTATACATACAGACCAGCTGAGGGGTGTTCCTTTACCCCTCAGTTCTCACACATGCAAAATCCCAGAGAATACGTGACTTTGAAAGGGCTGGGGAGAGTGCTCTGTTGGAAGCGTGTGCCATATCGGCATGAGGACCTGAGTTCAAACCCAGCTACAGAATGTGCTGTGTAGGAAGGCGCATGTGTGCAGCCCAAGGGCGGGGGAGCTGGAGATGGGAGGAGCCCTGGACCTGCTGTCCAGCCAGCCTCGCTGAATCCATTGGCTCAGAGCTCAGTGATAGATCCTGCCTCAGAAAAGAAGGTGGAGCATAATCAAAGTAGATACCTCAGGCTTCGACACACATGATCACACATGTGCATCCACACACACATGAACACATACAATGTACAAAGAGAACTTTAGACCAACCCATATTAAAACATGTCAACCTCATAGATTCTTTCTCAGCCACATTTTGCTTTCTCATGACAAAATCAAGGAACAGCTATGTATGGGAGCTTATTTAAGTTTCAGACTAAGAACGTAAGCAAACATGAGAAGCCATTCAGTCTCTCCTGTCCAGGGTCTCATGTACTATTTTCTAAAGACATGGGTCTGGAGGGGACAGCTACAGCCAACTGGACACCTTTTCTATGTTCTGATGCTAATGAAATATTTTTTCAGTTTTCTTAAGTCCAGATAATCTGATTTGTGGGTTATGCAGGGTTTTCACCCCCTTCCTTTCTTTTCCATTTAGGAAAGTAACATTTGAGTTCCTCAAAGGTTGATCAACATATTTGCATCTAGTATTTATTTTGCATGGGTGAAACCAGTCTTAAGAAATGTCATCTTTACTCATTAGCAACATCTCAATCTTGGCTAAATAAACCCACAGTGAACCAGGCTAAGACCTCCAAGACTGAAAAGTGGGTAACTTCATCATTATCTTTACCGTAACCTTCTCTGCTCTATGCTGGCAGGAGAAGACATT